GTCTGAATATAATAATATAACACAATCAATCAAGATTCATTTTATTTCATGTGAAAAATAAATTAGAATCAATCAACCAAAATGGATTCGACTGTCTTGTTGTGCCTAACGAGTTTTCATACGACGAGAAGTGTGATTATTGGTCAGATATAAATCCTGGATTACCTAAAAGAGAAAAAGATATATAGAAAGTTAATTTCCACTTTATTGGTTTTTAAAGCTTACGTGAAATGTTATACTCATTTGTGTCTAATTTTTTTTTTGCAGACATAGTTGAGTAAGTGCTGAAGGGGAAAGTGATGATGGATAAAAGAATGCCGTTTGATTAAAATCTTCTCATCGTGCTTTTTACCTGATTTGGTGTAAGGTTTGGGTGTTGGTATGAGTTTCCTTTTCATCAACACCCACACACCACCTCTTTATCATTGCCAAGATCCAGATAGGTGAACACCCGAGTGGGAAAGTGTCGAGAAATATGAAGATGTCATTTGATTAAAATCAGCTCATAAATCCTTTTATCTGTTATTATTTATGATCTGATGGAACGAAGTATGTGATTTTCAAGTTTCGTTGGTTTTAAAATCTGTTTTTCTTTTAACTGTGAAAGTATTTGACTAAAGTAGTATTCTCGATATATCAACTAAAATTCATCATAGACAACACTAATGTTGCAAATATCTCAAGAACGACACTAAATTCAGATACGGTTAAAATATACTTTGTTTTATCAAACTATAGGCAAATCATTCATATCACGGAATAATTGATCAATTGATAATTAGAAACAAAATGATGACAACAGCAAAACTTCAAATAACAACAGTTAAGACATGTAAAGATTTTTATTTTTCTTTGAATATTCTCAAAAAAGAATCTTTAATTACATGTTAAAATAATTCTATTTTAAAGGAGAAAATGAATTGTCGAAGTTTTCATAACTGAAGTGAAGAGAGAATTCTTTTGGAAATTTATCCAATAAATGATACAGAAAGATGAGTTTCACAAAAGAAAAAAAGGACAGAATATCAAATCTTGTTGGATAAAATCGAATATTATTATATTCAGAAGAATCTCTTATCGATAGGTTAATTTGAAAGTATTAGAAAAACATTTAATTTTGTTCAACGAATGAAAGAAGTAATAGATTAAATTATTTTTATATTCAAAATTAAAAGACATTTTAAAAACTATCTATTATCTACAAGAAATTTTTAACTTTAATATGAACTTTAGAAGATATTTTTTCTCTTATAAATAATTCAATTGTAGTGTCAAAACTTATAAACTTGATTTCTTGTGGTAATTTTTTCTAAAAAGTACAAAAAAAGAGTTCATACGATAATTACCTATTGATAATGTTTGTAAAATATATTGAAACTGTAAAAACAAACCATCAAATGAGATATCAAATAGAGAATGTGATAAAATTATTGTGACATTTTTATTTTATATATATCTCAGTAGAGTAATAGAATATAATCTAGAACTTCTTTTTTTAAATATGCGTCATTAAATTCTCTAGAAAGTACGAAGAAAGAGAGTCTTTTAATTTACACTGAAGACTTTCACAAAGGCTAAAAATAAAGATAGATGTGATTTTACTATTTCCTGTTCTAATAAAATCAGCAAAAAATACTTGCGATGTTTTTTTTATAATTATTTCTCAATGCTAAACAAAAAGCATTCGTGAGATACTGATATACTTCACAAATAGTAAAGATAACGCCCAATCTATTACAAATTTAGAAGACTTAAAAATGTTAACGATCTTTAAGTATGTCGAAATGTAATCTGTTAAATTTTTCTATTGATGGCAGTATTAATTTCAATACCGACTATCAAGATATACAAGAAAAATAAAATTTAAAGCGAGAAGTTCTAAAAAACAAGAGCTGTTAATATGACTGATGTAAATGATACTTCATTATTACTTTTAATCAAGTCTATCAATCTTTTATGAACGCTTATGTTTATCATTGAGAAATAACTTCAAAAAACAAAAATATTTCAAGTATTTTTTTGTTTTGCTGATTTCAGTAGAACAAGAAAGAGTAACATTGCATGCATCTTCTTTTTATGATCTTTTAAAAGTCTTCAGTACAAATCGGAAGAATCTCTTTTTTTTAAAGACTTTGCAGAGAATTCAATGGCAAATTTTTAAAAAAACAATTCAAGATTATATTTTTTGTTCTGTTGAAATATGTAAAATAAAAAAGTATCAGAATCATTTTGATGCATCCGATAGAATTTGTTTCAAATATGTAAAATGTTGCAAATATATGTTAGGATTTAACAAAATTCGAAATTGATAGAGTTTTCGAAGAATCTGAGATTAATAATTTTGCTCATGATGTCAATTTGTTTGTGTTTAAATGAAAAAATTTGTTGTAATTATTTTGATTATAAAGAATTAATATATTGATATTTTATAATTGAACAATAAAAAAAAGTGTAGAATGATTATCAAACATATAGAGATAAAATGCTATTGCATGAACGTCTACTATGAACATGGGAAAGAATTTGATCATTACTCACAATCGTTGAAATACGAAGTTGGTTGTCTAATTTTTTAACCAACTTAAAAACATATATTTTTAAATTCAAGCTCAGATTCTTTTGATTATTAAATTTTTATAATATGAAACAAGCAATGGATTTAGTGTTGAAAACGCTTTTTTTCACTAGATCTAGACAGAAAAAATTAGCAATCTCTCTTTTATAGATTTTCTATTTAAAAAAAGAAGAATTTCAGTTTACAGAAGAAAATTTCTACTATGATAATAGAAATCTTCTATAATATAAGACAGATCATTAGATAGTCCTTCACTGCTTCACTAGAATATACTTCTCAAATTCGATCAAAATCTAAAGTTCGAATTCGTTCAGAATTGTTCGATAATCTTTTAGTTGAAAATGTGAATTATATACTTTCAAAATACGTTCAATTAAATATGAAACTTGTTGATCAGAAAAGTAAAAATTTGTATTTTATGGATTCTCTTTGAATCAGTAGTATACTTGAAAAATTCTTTAATAGTGACGAAATGAAATTCTGCAATTTGATTATTATAATAATATCTAGACGTTTAAGTGTCTATTTTATGAAGTTAACAAAGATTGCAATGAACAGGAACTTAAAGCGTATCAGAATTCTGATATATTTTTCATCTTAAGTCGTTTTAAACATCGGACATGTAGTCTGATATTCAAAAATAGATTTCTTTCCTTAAATATTTATGATAGAAGTGTTTAAACAATTTTGTACGAGAGATCATAATAAAGAGTCAAGAAAATCAGACTAATTTGATTGAATTTTCGACATGGAATGTTTCTTGTTATATCTGATGTAGCAATTGAAACTCATAAGGAACAAGATCAAAGGTCGTCAAAATGTATATCTAACGATATCCTTATAGAAGGTGACCGAATAAATAGAATCGCATTGATAAGAAATTCGTAAAAGAATTTACTACGAGATCTTATTAGGTATAAAGATTTTGCTTTCTATTTTTATAGATAAGCATTGGAGTGATTTACCTAATACATCAGTAATTAAACGAAGAAGAAATGTTGTTTTTCTATATATCTACTCTCAACATTTTAGCAGTAATGGTTGTTTCTAACTTTTGTCTTTTAATCAATTTGTATTGCTATCTTGATAGTCTTACAACATATGTAATTGTCTTTCTTTTTTCTATTTTTAATCTTGAACATTTCTTTGTTTTTCTTATGATCTTAGGCTGTATATTTACTAAAACTCAAATTTATTTAGAGTTGAAGTTTAAAAATGAAATGCAATTCATTTATTTGAAAATGACTGAAAATTTTAACTGTTGAAAATTATCTAAGAAAACTCTCGATTCATACATTTTGGATTTAAAAATTGATTTTTATATTTGGAGAAAGGTGTGGGTGCGGGGTGTGGGGTGTGGCGTGGGTGTCGGTGGGTGGGTGCGGATGTTTACAGTAGAAAAGACGCTCACATTCACACCCACACCCACATCCACACCCACATCCATATTCACACCCCACACCGACACCCACACCCAGTATATCACAACAAAGATCATGTATTAGTTGTAGCAGTGTATGGTGGTATTGCTGCTCTATAATTGTTAGAGCAGCCCTTGTCCGAACTGAAATCTGGAACTTATACACGTCCTTTGGCCTTAATAAACTAATATAAAATAATTTTTTTAACTTTTTTCCTTGGTTGCTAATGTCTATGATTGAGATTCCTGTAATGAGAGGCGCGCATGTGTTTGTGTAGATCGGAGTGTAACGCTCACTTTTTTTTTGCGTACATCAATACATTAAAAACTTGCTCAAATTGTTTATACTGATGACGTATTATGTTTGTTTTCTTTCTATTGTATAGTTTTATGCTTGCCTACTTCTCAAGCAAACCTGTTTCGTTACCATGTGATGCTTTTTCTCTTTTCTGCGTGATTGTAACACATACAACAAGAGTGGTTTTTTGTTGGGGCGACATAATGTTTCTTTTTCTTCTTCTTTCTCACGTACTTAGACGAATGTTTGGTTTCAGATCATTTCATAACATTATTGGCATTCTTACAAGTAGTAGAAAAAAAAATGAAAATTTCAATGACTGGAACACGATAAAGATATTTAACGGTAAGATACAATGAGATGAGAAACTTTTTTCGTGTTAAAAAGCTATTTTTAAAAACGTTGCTTAGGATTGGTAATGACAGAATAAAGCGTAGTGATGGTACCAAATTCGATCAATTTGAGACAGCGTTAGAGCCAGTTTAAAATGATCGTAGACTAAAACTTATATTGACACATAGAAAAGGTGACGAAAACATTCTGATGAATTTGTGCGAAAGTATAGCATTTCATAAGAACACAGGATTGAGATTTTTTCTTAGCAATTGTTCTACAAGAAAACTTATTACCTGCTTCGTTTAGCTCTATAGTATTTATATTGCATTCATACGGTGTTTTGAATATATCAGCGAGATTTCATAAAAAGAATGCAACCGAAATTAAAGCATCGGCTCGATGATGAACAGTCGGAGCCGCCTTTGTTTGATTTTGATATTGATGAAGCAAATGAAGCGGATAGTGAAACTATGACTGACGTTGAAGAAGCATCACTACATGATGATTTACAACAGCAGACTTTAACTCGAATTCAATTAGAGCAATTATTCTCTCGAGCCAGTTCTGCATTAGTTGCAGAATCAACCAATGATCAAGAGTCTTTTAAACGTAAAACAACCATAAAAGTACCAAAGACAAGTAAGATGATAACAACGCCATTTCCACCCCCTCAATCAGATCGTCAAGAAGATTTCGATATTAGTATTGAAGAACTAAAACCGTTTGCTCAAAGACCGGCAGGTCAACTAATTATTGACAGATATTCTCCTAATGACAAAGAAATTTATTATGCATTATCAACTGTTACATTAACATTTAATCAACCCATGATAAGTATTTCATCGTTAGATGAACAGCGGAATCCAGAAGATCTAGGTATATCATTAATACCAAAAGTCCAAGGTCAATGGAGATGGATAGACACGAAAACAGTTCAATTTGAAGCAAAGCATCGTTTTCCATATTCAACCAAGTATGCATTAACAGTGGACAAAATTCGTTGCGTATCAGCAATTGGAGGTAAATCCATGTAAAACTAAAGACGTTGTCCAGTGCATCCGATAGTATAGACAACTAAAATCGAGATATTTTCAAATTTCTGAGCTTTTGTTATGATATTCTCAATAACTATCTATGCATTCAAACACTTTCGTAATGTTGAAGTGTGAAATTCGATGATTTTTGATATTTTCATTATTTCTAGGAAAGCTGGATGATGAATTTTTCTTTGAATTCTCAACGAAAACATTAGAAGTTCTTCAATACTTACCAGATGAAATAGTTTCAACATTAAAGCCTCGATGTTTTCTATTATTCGATCAAAAAATTGATATGAATGAAATTTTCAAGCATATATGTGTAGTGCATGGTGATGGAATTAAAATGGAGAACAAGGAATTAGAACTATTAGATGAAGACACAGCAGAAAATGAATTTAAATGGTACTTAAATCAAAAGAAAGGAAATCGTCAAGAATATATTGCATTTACATTTAAAAATGATTTATTAAAGGCAACAGAATATACGATTCAGTTAACTCAAGACTGTCCATCAGCCGAAGGACCACTAAAGACAACAACAGAATGGTCAGCTGAATTCCGCACTTATGAACCTTTAAAAATCATTGATTGGTTTCCGAATATAAACGATGAGGACCAGCAGACTGTTGGTCCTGGTCAAAGTTGGTCAATTAGATTTAATAATTCCTTAGATCATTCAGCGATTAAAAAATCCATATTCAAAGTCGAGCCGATAGTCAGCGATTTAGGTGAGCAGAGAGAAAACTCGTTTTAAAATAAGTCTGATTGTAAACAAAATCAAGCTTAAATAAAAAGTTCTTCTAGGTATTGAACATACAAACGACTATAGTAAAAAAATAACAATACTTAATAATTCTCAACCAAATACTGTCTATACATTATCTATACAACCAGGAATATTAAAAGACGTTTATGGTCAAACATTTGAACAAGATCCTACGGAAGAACCAATTCAATTTCACGTAGAAGAATCAAATTCACCATTATATGGAATATTGAGAGGTGAATCAGGTATACTACTCAAAAAAAAATGAAGATATTCTCAATAAAAGAATACTTATTTTAGGTATTATTATAATGGATCCTGGTCTATTATATGAACCGTATTACTCGTTTATAGTTTGTAACTATTCAGAATTAATAATCCGAATTAATCGAGTCAAACCAGAGCATTATAAGCCAAATGTACTAAAATTCAGTGCCCGTTTTGACGACGACGACGACTACGCAGAAGAAGAAGAAGATCAAAATGAAGCAATAGAAGATAACCATAACATACCTGGTGAAGAATTGCTAAATGAAATTATACAAACAAACTGTCAACGAAATGAACCAAAGGAGATAAGAATTTCCTTGAAAGCGTATCTCACGAAATCCTCTGGAGTCGGTCAATTGTTTATATTCATTACAACAACAAAAAAGGCATACAAGGAATGTGAACATAGGTATTGGGGAAATACACGAGCTATATTAGTCTGGCTACAATGTACTCGGTTAGCTGTCGATACTTTTGCTTCTTCAAGTAAGTGTATTTTCGATTTCTATCATAGACTTCATTAGTAATGACAAAAACATACAGCTGTAGGAAAATGACTAAAACAATTTAATAAAAACTGTCTGGTGGTTCTCACTGCAAGTTTGTTTTATCATAAAACAATCCGCATGTGAAGACCCTTTTGTGTAAGACTGAGAGTGGAGATATATTTACATTTTACACGCAAATGCACTGGACCATAGGAATAATGGTAACAGCATTTTTTTTTATTATAGATAAGGACGGTACGTTAACTGCATTGGTTACTAATTTAATGACTGGTATACCCATCGACCAAGCAACTGTTTCAATATTGAACCAAAAAGAAATGACAAATCAACAAGGATTATGTACCATTGGAAGGTGGAAGCCACAAGAAAACACAAAAAAAGAAATATTAGTCGTAGAGAAAGGTGATGATCTCTATATGGAAGTAGATATCTACCCTTCTCGATCAGCTGATGATGTTTACGTTTGGCATGTATTCAATGATCGTGGCTTGTACAGACCAAAAGAAGATGTACATATAAAAGGTTATGTTCGATTAGTGAAGATAGAAGGTGAAGCAAAAATACCTACCTATGTCCAAGGTGTCATTGATTATATAATTTGTGATCCTCAAGGTGAACAACTCCAAGAATCAAAAGTGAAATTGAATCGTTACGGAGCATTTGACATCAAGTTTACATTACCTGATAATGTTAACTTAGGTAAACGAGGATATTTTTGCAGCTCCCATATTCCACTATTTTTTACATCTTTTAGTAAGGGCTTGAATTTGTTTAGTCTAGACTGTGTTCGTTCGCATTTGCACTTCAGATCTTCAGAGAAAGAAATATATTTTTTTAGAAGAACTAAATTAATATTACTACATTCTCAAATAAAAATATCTGAATACAGCTGTTCATAAATGTAACTTCTTAGAAGGTTTTACTTAAGCAAGTTTGTTCATTCTAAAAGAAGGATTCATTGATTTCAATTTCGTGTTATTGTTAGTGACAGGATACGTCGAATTCCGTCTACNAAATGACTAAAACAATTTAGTAAAAACTGTCTGGTGGTTCTCACTGCAAGTTTGTTTTATCATAAAACAATCCGTATGTGAAGACCCTTTTGTGTAAGACTGAGAGTGGAGATATATGCACATTTCACACGCAAATGCACTGGACCATAGGAATAATGGTAACAGCATTTTTTTTATTATAGATAAGGATGGTACGTTAACTGCATTGGTTACTAATTTAATGACTGGTATACCCATCGATCAAGCAACTGTTTCAATATTGAACCAAAAAGAAATGACAAATCAACAAGGATTATGTACCATTGGAAGGTGCAAGCTAGAAGAAAACACAAAAAAAGAAATATTAGTCGTAGAGAAAGGTGATGATCTCTATATGGAAGTAGATATCTATGCTTCTCGATCAACTGATGATGTTTACGTTTGGCATGTATTCAACGATCGTGGCTTGTACAGACCAAAAGAAGATGTACATATAAAAGGTTATGTTCGATTACTGAAGATAGAAGGTGAAGCAAAAATACCTACTTATGTCCAAGGTGTCATTGATTGTATAATTTGTGATCCTCGAGGTGAACAACTTCAAGAATCAAAAGTGAAATTGAATCGTTACGGAGCATTTGACATCAAGTTTACATTACCTGATAATGTTAACTTAGGTAAACGAGGATGTTTTTGCAGCTCCCATATTCCACTATTTTTTACACCTTTTAGTAAGGCCTTGAATTTGTTTAGTCGAGACTGTGTTCGTTCACATTTGCACTTCAGATCTTCAGAGAAAGAAATATATTTTTTTAGAAAACCTAAATTAATATTACTACATTCTCAAATAAAAATGTCTGAATACAGCTGTTCATAAATGTAACTTCTTAAAAGGTTTTACTTGAGCAAGTTTGTACATTCTAAAAGAATGATTCATTAATTTCAATCTCGTGTTATTATCAGGTAAAGGATACGTCGAATTCCGCCTACCAGATTCAAAAAGCGAAACAACACATTATTTTGAAATTCAAGAATTTCGAAGACCAGAATATGTAGTCTCATCAATGATTCGATCGTCAACAGCATACTACTGTCATCCAACGGTTGATCAATATGTTGTCATTAGTTGTGAAGGAAAACTATTTGCTGGTGGATATCTAAGTGATGCAAGTGTTCAATGGATAGTACAAGCTGAATCAACAACATATACACCGGCTAATAGGTCTGATTATATATTTGGAAGAGCGCAGTCATTCTCTTACTTTTCTCGTCGCCGTACTCAAAACAATATATCATACCCAAAAAAGTATTTTCAGGTAATAAAGATTTGACTCAAGCACGTAAAGCATTATTGTTGATGCTGATATTATTTTTTATTTACTTTCAGGGCAAAACAGACAATAAAGGCCAACATGAAATAAGAATTATTTATCATGGCATTGCACAAGAACCAATCATTGTTCGTGCATTAGCAGCTATCACTGATTTGAATTCTCAAACACAAGAAACAGGAAGAGATTTTCTCATACATCCATGTAGATACTATGTTGGATTTCGGTACGTAAAAAGTTGTGGTAAGAAAGGAGAACCTGTGCGAACAGAAGTCATCGTAACAGATATTGATGGAAATTTGATTAACGATATTTTGATTCAATGCGAAGTCATTGGATATGGCAAGGAACAAAAAGAAGATCAGAATGGTTTAACAATATTTGAAGAAATAACAGATGAACAAAAATTAACAGTTGTTAGCTCAAATAAAGATGCAGTTATTCTTGATTATATACCAAAACTAGGTAAACAGAGTGTTTGTGAGAATGAAAAATCTTTGTACGAANGGAAGAGCGCAGTCTTTCTCTTACTTTTCTCGTCGTCGTACTCAAAACAATATATCATACCCAAAAAAGCATTTTCAGGTGATACAGATTTGACTCAAGCGCATAAAGCATTATTGTTGATGCTGATATTATTTTTTTATTTACTTTCAGGGCAAAACAGACAATAAAGGGAAACATGAAATAAAAATTATTTATCATGGCATTGCACAAGAACCAGGACCAATCATTGTTCGTGCATTAGCAGCTATCACTGATTTGAATTCTCAAACACAAGAAACAGGAAGACATTTTCTCATACATACATGTAGATATTATGTTGGATTTCGATACGTCAGAAGTTGTGGTAAGAAAGGAGAACCTGTGCGAACAGAAGTCATCGTAACAGATATTGATGGAAATTTGATTAACGATATTTTGATTCAATGCGATGTCATTGGACATGGCAAGGAACAAAAAGAAGATCAGAATGGTTTAACAATATTTGAAGAAATAACAGATGAACAAAAATTAACAGTTGTTAGCTCAAATAAAAATGCAGTTATTCTTGATTATATACCAAAACTAGGTAAACAGAGCATTTGTGAGAATGAAAAATCTTTGTACGAAAACGATAGACGAATTTCTGTTATGATTTTCGCATAAGTATATATGTGGATTAAAATAACTATTTTTATTTAAAAATATCATATTAGAGACACCTATGAGAGAGATGTTTATATGAGTTTGACTCATTACAATCAAATCTAGATTATCAAAAATTACATGCTACCGTTACATTTGCATATGATATTGGTCAGCATATATAGAATATAGAAAGTGCTGTTTTACAGTAAAAAACCTATAACTTCTATTTATTATTAGGAGGTAGATACAATATATCGTATAGCGTCAAAGATGAACATGGACGATTAGCTATGAGTTCCTATACAAACTATTACGTCTACGGTGGTAAAGAAAAAGAAAAAGAAAATCACCATGACATTGAAGAAGAAACAGATGAATATGAAGTAAATAGTTATGTTCCAATGGACTCATTGGGAATTATTCCGAATGCAAAAAGTTATCAACCAGGAGACCTGTGTGAATTACTCATTATAGCTCCGTTTAGTCCAGCTAATGGTCTCATTCTGCTCGACTGTGAGGGGCAAGTGTCACAACCAATAGGATTTCAAATAGAATCTGGAAAAGATTCAGCAACTGTTGAATTTAAAATATCAAAAGATTGGATACCAAACTTGACGGTTCACGCTGAATTAATCGGGTCAAATCCAAGAGAAATGAAAGTAACCGATTCACCATATCGTCCAGCAATCGCTTCTCATTCCGTGTCATTAGAAGTATCAAGAGATTTCTATAAGCTAAATGTTTTGGTTGATACATATGAGCCAAATAAAATATATACACCATCATCGACCATCCATATCGATATCGACGTTAGACAGTATGTCGATAATGCACCTGCTAAAAAAGTAGAAGTTTGTTTAATTGTTGTTGATGAAGCAATCTTATCATTAACTGATCACAAATTACAGAGTCTGTTAGAAATATTTTATCCTGGTCGATCGAAAAAGATTACACAATTTCATAGTAGAGCTCGTTGCTTGCTATTCGATCCACAGCAAGTAGAACACCTTAAGAAAGAGATAAAAAAAAGTCTCTACTCAGACGCATATGAAGGTTGTGAAGGTGGCGGCGGTGGTGGTGGTGAGCGCCGCGGTAAGTTTAAGTCAAGTGCCTACGACCTTGGACAAAAAATAAATGTTAGGTCGAACTTCAATCCCCTCGCATGTTGGACACCTTCGGCAGTCACTGATTCCTCTGGGCGTGTTTCAATTGAAATTAAATTACCTGATAATCTTACACGCTACCGTGTATGGGCACTAGCAACCAATGATAAACAATATGGTTTCGGTGAAATGTCACTTACTGTACAACTACCAATTATGATTCGACCTTCTCTACCAAGATTTCTGAATTATGGAGATACGGCATGTTTCTCAGTTATTTTACAAAATCAAACCGATCTATCACTACAATTACATACTGGTTTGAGGGCAACCAATGCAAAATTATTAACAGCACAAGCAAATCGCCCAGCATTTGGCTATTCAATTGTTCTACCACCAAATAAACGAGCTGCTATTACGTTTCCAATAGAAACAGTGCATGCTGGTACAGCTCGATTTCAGTTCATAGCCAATACTCCTAGAAATAAAACATCTCCATCATTTGGTGATGCCATCGAAGTAGATTTACCTGTATTTATGCCAGCGACATCAGAAGCATTTGCAACATACGGTGATACACATGAAGAAGTTGTTTTACAGCCAATAAAGACACCAAAGCATGTTCTTCCACAATACGGTGAACTATCAATAACAACAAGTTCAACGGCATTAGCATCATTAACTGATGCAATTATTTCGCTTTATACATATCGATTTGAATGTACAGAACAATTAAGTTCAAGAATATTAGGTATACAATCACTGTGGAATGTTCTGCAAGCATTTCATTGTAAACAATTACCTGATATATCAGTATTGAAAACAAAATTAGAATCAGATTTAAATATGTTAAAAGGTCGCCAGTATCCAAATGGTGGATTTGGTTACTGGACAAATCAAAAAGATTCTCATCCTGATCCATATATGAGTGTCCATGCTGCTCATTGTTTAGCTGTCGTTTTAAATAAAAAGGCACGTAAGAATGTTGATCCATATATGATTGAATAATTAGAAGTGTACTGTGAACAAATTTTTGAATATGAACTATTTTCTATTACTTTACAGGTATTTGACGTTGACCATAATATGCTGGAAAATACGTTAAAATATCTTGAAAATATTGAATCTGAAATTGATCAATTACCCTACAGAAGACATTGGTCGGAAAAAACTCGATTTAGTTTGATGAGTTATGCATTGTATGTACGAGCAAAATTTCTTCAAAACATAGCTGATCAAGCTTTACAAGTATTTCAGCGAAGTGGATTGGATAAACTTAGTTTAGAAGCATTAGGGTGGCTATTAGTCGCCTTGTCTGCTGACAAAAGTCATGATAATCATCAAACAATTGAACTAATATATAAATATTTAAAAGGTAAAGTAAACGAAACAAGTGAGACAGCGAATTTTATCACATCGTATGGTGATGATGGTCAATCAGTAATGTTCCATTCAAATCAACGAACAGATGCTATTCTATTAGAATCATTATTGTGTATTGATCCAGAATCCACTCTTTGTACTAAATTATGTAAAGGTTTACAAGCACATAAAGTGAAAGGTGCATGGAAATCAACACAGGAAAATTGTTTTGTATTAATTGCATTAGATAAATATTTTCACATTAAAGAAAAAGATACACCAGATTGTGTTGTTAATATTTGGTATGACAATGATTATTGCGGTCAACATCAATATAAAGGTAAGATGAAATCAAAAGTAAAAGAAAATCAATTTCTATGTAGTTCTGCCTATATCGCTTTTTTTAAATGTCTACATCTAAGCGAATAATTTCGAGGTATATATATTATTTGTTTTGATTTCTTATCTTAATGTGTATAGGTCGAACGACAAATACATATACAGTGAGTATTCCGATGAGAGAAATTCTGGCGCCGTCATCATCATTTAACATGGGTAGTAACGATAAGGACGTAGTGATGCATAAACGTGGCAATGGTCGATTATACTATCGTATTGCAATGGATTATGCTCCATCAAGTCTACAACTAAATGCAGTTAACTATGGTTTTAAAATTGAACGAGCATACACAGCTATGGATCATTCATCATATGTTCAGCAACAATCCGATGGAACTTGGAATTTCAAACTAAATGAAAAAATTAAAGTCACATTAACAATGTCATCAAAACAACAACGATATCATGTAGCATTAGTTGATTATTTACCAGCTGGTTGTGAACCATTGAATATGAAATTAAACGGTACTTTGGCAGATCATACAAATTCATCAGTAGCAAGATCAAAAAGAAACAGTCGCTATAATGAATATCGATTATATTCAACGATTGGTTGGACTGAATATGAAAATTTAAGAGATGAACGTGCTGAAGCATTTCGAGCATTATTGTGGCCTGGTGTATACGAATGGAGTTATGTTATGCGTGCAACATGTGCTGGAACGTTTATCATTCCACCAGCTAAAGCTGAAGAAATGTATTCACCAGAAAACTTTGGTCGATCTACAACAGAAAAAGTTATCATTGACTAAAAAATACATATCACATTGAGATATTTCTACTTAATCTTTTTTTACAAATGATTGGAACTTTTTAATTCTTCATTTCCTTTTATGCTGAATAACTTACTAACCTAACAATTCAATAAACTTATTTCTGAAGGTGGGATATATTTGCCTTCCAATGGCATCCTTATTCATAAAGTGATTGCATTACACAAGGAAAGAGAGGCAAATTTGTCGAGATTACACATATTCTAATTGATATTAGGATGTGGGTGTGGATATGGATGTGGGTAACAGTAAAAACACATCTCCACATACCCCCACCCACTCACACCCACACCCACACCCACACCCACACCCACACCCACCCCCACACCCACCCCCCCCCCCACCCACACCCACACCCTATCGAATGATGTTTGAAAGAATGATAGGGAGAGTAAGGATGAACATATGGTCCTCAAACTATTCTACGCTCAAATCGGAGAATAGAATATGTTTCACATTTTTAACAAACAGAGTATTATGGCACTTTTGACCAGTGTTTCCTTAATCGCCTCGACTTTGATTATGCATTTATCATAGCCACTGTTCGTCTAAATGCACTTTTTATAGCGTTCGGAATGACGAATGCAACAATTAAATGTAGGAGGCGCGGTTCACTCATAATTTGGATTTTGTGTTTTTGCTGAGAAAACGCGGAATAGATGGATGTAAGCCATAGATTTTCACTGCTCCAAAGTCGCATTTAGAACACTGAATTTTCCTTATAACTGTAAGATTTGAGTATCAGGCATACATAATTACAGTACACCATCATAATTTATATCCGTTAATAAATGGCTGAGTCAACATACATTAGCCATATCACATCTATATGAAAACTTTTATGTACCGTAGAGTTGTATGCGCCTTCAGAGTCACTTTGACAAAATAACGAGCATTTAAACAAATATTATCCTGTATTATATTAGTTTTGTTCTTTTAATGAAAACTTCCGTGCAGTTTTAAAGTTAAAAAGCATCATTTATATGTTCGTGGCAAAACTGCCCTGACCTGTCAAGATTTCCATTCGATAATAGTTTAGAATAGATACAGTCTATGNTATTTTGATTCAATGCGATGTCATTGGACATGGCAAGGAACAAAAAGAAGATCAGAATGGTTTAACAATATTTGAAGAAATAACAGATGAACAAAAATTAACAGTTGTTAGCTCAAATAAAGATGCAGTTATTCTTGATTATATACCAAAACTAGGTAAACAGAGTGTTTGTGAGAATGAAAAATCTTTGTACGAAAACCATAGATGAATTTCTGTTATGATTTTCACATAAGTATATATGTGGATTAAAATAACTACTTTTATTTAAAAATATCATATTAGAGACACTTAGGAGAGAGAGAGATTTTTATAATGAGTTTGACTCATTACAATCAAATCTAGATTATCAAAAATTACATGCTACCGTTACATTTGAATATGATATTGGTCAGCATGTATAGAATATAGAAAGTGCTGTTTTACAGTAAAAAACTTATAACTTCTATTTATTATTAGGGGGTAGATACAATATATCGTATAGCGTCAAAGATGAACAAGGACGATTAGCTATGAGTTCCTATAAAAACTATTACGTCTACGGTGGTAAAGAAAAAGAAAAAGAAAATGAAAATGAAAATCACCATGACATTGAAAAAGAAACAGATGAACATGAAGTAAATAGTTATGTTCCAATGGACTCACTGGGAATTATTCCGAATGCAAAAAGTTATCAACCAGGAGACATGTGTGAATTACTCATTATAGCTCCGTTTAGTCCAGCTAATGGTCTCATTCTGCTCGATTGCGATGGTCAAGTTTCACAACCAATAGGATTTCAAATAGAATCCGGAAAAGATTCAGCAACTGTTGAATTTAAAATATCAAAAGATTGGATACCAAATTTTACGGTTCACGCTGAATTAATCGGGTCAACTCCAAGAGAAATGAAAGTAACCGATTCACCATATCGTCCAGCAATTGCTTCTCATTCCGTGTCATTAGAAGTATCAAGAGATTTCTATAAGCTAAATGTTTCGGTTGATACATATGAATCAAATAAAATCTATACACCATCATCGACCATCCATATCGATATCGACGTTAGACAGTATGTCGATAATGCACCTGCTAAAAAAGCAGAAGTTTGTTTAATTGTTGTTGATGAAGCAATCTTATCATTAACTGATCACAAATTACAGAGCCTGTTAGAAATATTTTATCCTGGTCGATCGAAAAAGATTACACAATTTCATAGTAGAACTCGTTGCTTGCTATTCGATCCACAGCAAGTAGAACACCTTAAGAAAAAAATAAAAGAAAGTCTCTACTCAGACGAAGACGGAGGTTGGGGTGGTGGCGGCGGTGGTGGTGGCGGTGGTGGTGGTAAGCGCCACGGTAAGTTTAAGTCAAGTGCCTACGACCTTGGGAAAAAAATAAATGTTCGGTCGAACTTCAATCCCCTCGCATGTTGGACACCTTCGTCAGTCACTGATTCCTCTGGGCGTATTTCAATTGAAATTAAATTACCTGATAATCTTACACGCTACCGTGTATGGGCACTAGCAACCAATGATAAACAATATGGTTTCGGTGAATTATCACTTACTGTACAACTACCGATTATGATTCGACCTTCACTACCAAGATTTCTGAATTATGGAGATACGGCATATTTCTCAGTTATTTTACAAAATCAAACCAATCTATCACTACAATTACATACTGGTTTGAAGGCAACCAATGCAAAATTATTAACAGCACAAGCAAATCGACCAGCATTTGGCTATTCAATTGTTTTACCACCAAATAAACGAGCCGCTATTACGTTTCCAATACAAACAGTGCATGCTGGTACAGCTCGATTTCAGTTCATAGTTAATACTCCTAGAAATAAAGCATCTCCATCATTCGGTGATGCCATCGAAGTAGGTTTACCTGTATTTATGCCAGCGACATCAGAAGCATTTGCAACATACGGTGATACACATGAAGAAGTTGTTTTACAGCCAATAAAGACACCAAAGCATGTTCTTTCACAATACGGTGAACTATCAATAACAACAAGCTCAACAGCATTAGCATCATTAACTGATGCAATTATTTCGCTTTATACATATCGATTTGAATGTNACATGTCCGTAATTTTTTTTTGATTGATGCGTTTCAGACTGTCTTCGGTTAAACTAGAAAATCAAAATCAAAATCCAAGACCTTTTCCAAAATGCCGTATAAACTCCACGGAATCACCCACTTAGGTTTATATGGTGCAACTGTCACCGAAGAATAACGGGAAGGGTTGAGTGTCATAATTATTGAGTGAATAATTCTGCACGAAATTTTAATCCTCTTTCTTTTCGAGGAATTAAACTCTTCATTTTTTCACTTATATAGATGAAACATATTGTCATTTCTCTTGAAGATAAATGGCTTCTTTATTAACGTTACTACATTATACTGTCTCAAGTGAATTATGGAGATCTGATAATTTTCCCATTCAATCGAGAGAAAGATCTGAAAAATAGAAAATCTTGCTCATTCTCATTCAATCTTACCATTCCCTCTCAAGTTTTTCGTTTCGACTTCTTTTTGCGATTTTGACGGTCATCACTTATGAAGGTTTTATCCTGTTTATATGCAATTCTACAAAGAAGCTAATAGAACAATAAAGAGAAAAAAGAAGCAAAGAATCATAACTGATAGAAAAGAAAGACGCGCTTATGTACATATACAATCGAAACAGACGGCAAAAAGAGCATGATTTTCATATAATAACATAGTTCATTACATTCCAGACATTATTTAATAGATTCTCCTTTATCGAGTCCCTTCGCCAAGTCAAAAATCTATTTTCAGTCTAGAACAACTGATCCAACGGAAACTTTTTAGAAATATGTATTACATAATCGAGAAATTGGTTTAAAAATTTTAATTCAAAACTATGATCCACTCAACACTTGTATCAATATCCAAATTTCAATAGTCATCAGTGATCTTTCTAACTAACCAGAGCATGAGTTTGTAAAATTTTTCTATGCACTGTCTATAGTGGTGTTCAACTTAAAAACTTGAAAAATGTTCTTAGTACATGCCTTTTCCATTTGCAATAATGAAAAATGACGATTAATATTTGTGTGATGATTCGAATGTCATGAAGCCGTAATAAAAACATTCAAATTGCTTTATATGCTGATCTTCAGTGACATCTGTTTTGTACTATTTTTCTCGTCTAAACAAGTCTTCGTTTGGTTAGTTTGTTTTCTTCCTCTCATCACTTGTATACTAGAAGTCTTCATGAAAGAGTGTGTATATCAACATCAAGTGTATATAACCGACGAGGGAGAACAAAAAAAAACATTTTGCACAGAAGGTAGTTTTTCGGTAAAAAAACATTTTAATAAAAAGCAAATAATGCGTTTTATATTTTTTTTTTCTACACAATTTATATTCATAATCATCATGTTATGCTTATATTCGCATACAAAACAAGGGATTATTGCACCATCACACGATATTTTGGTGAAATATTTTATAGAACGAGAAATACACCATCATTGAGTTTTACTTTCTGCATTATTCATTGAATTATTTTTGTCAAATTTTGAATAAATTTAATATAATAGAACATTTTTCTCTAATGTCACAACATCCTGATGAGGAATGAAACACGTCATCGGTACATTCTATACACATCAGCTGTTACTTGATGTTATTTTATCCTCCAATTGTATGATTTGCCAGACGTATTCTTGTTTTTCTTTAATCATATCAATATTTAGCAATCTCTGAAGCCTAAATCATATTATGCTAGATTAGATTTAGTTTATTGATGTTCTTTCTAGATAAAAGTACCAATGCATCGCCGTGGCATCATCAGACAACGACCAATTCCAAATCGAACGGTTGAAAATGAACAATCTGGATCTCATCACTTCCAATTTCATATTGCTGAAGCAAATGAAATGGATGATCAAATTACTACGGACACTGGAGTAACATCATCGACCGATGAATCACAACAACAACAGAATTTAACTTCTGAACAATTACAACAGTTATTTGGTCGAGCTAGTTCTCAATTGATGGCAGAATCAACAGATGAACAAGACTTTTTCAAACGTGAAGCAACGATTAAAGCACCAAAAACAAGTAAAATTATACAAACACCATTTCCACCACCTGCTGAAGATCGCAAAGAAGAACTTGATATTGATATTGAACAATTGAACCAATTAGCTAAACAAGAAGCAGGTCCATTAATTATTGAAAGATATTCTCCAAGTGAAACACAAATCAATTATCCATTAGCCACTGTTACAATAGCATTTAATCAACCGATGATTGCTTTATCATCATTAAATGATCAAATAAATATCGAAGATCTTGGTATTTCATTAAAACCAACACCTGAAGGTCGATGGAGATGGACAGGAACGAAAACAGTTCAATTTGAAGCCAAACATCGTTTACCATTTTCAACAAACTATACATTAAAAGTCAATAAAGAACAATGTGTATCAGCAATCGGAGGTAAATTGATCTAAAATGATAAAAATGAATGTATTGATGTCTAAATCATTTGAGATATTGTTCTTATTTTCAGGAAAATTAGAAGATGGACTGTTATTCGAATTTTCTACAACGCCACCCAATGTTCTTCAATTCTCACCATATGGACAAGTTTCAACATTAAAACCAAAATGTTTCTTATTATTTGATCAAAAAATTGATCAAAATCAAATTTTAAAACATCTTCACATAGTGACCAATGATCAACATAAAATACCGAATAATGCATTAGAATTATTGGACGAAAACACGGCAAAAAGTGAATTTGAATCTTATCTAAATGCAAATGAAGGAACTCATGAGAGATATGTTGCATTTACATTTAAACATGCTTTATTAAAAGCAACAGAATATAACGTTCAATTGCCTGTCAGTTGTCCATCAGCTGAAGGACCATTAAAGACTACATTAGAATGGTCAGCTAGTTTTCAGACTTATGAACCACTACGAATCATCGATTGGTATCCAAATTCGAAGGATGAATACCAAAAATCTACTAATCCTGGTCAAAGTTGGTCAATCACATTCAATAATTCATTAGATCATTCAACAATTCATAAATCATTATTCAAAATTGAACCAGAAGTTAGTGGTTTAGGTATTGAACATGTAGAATACAATGATCAACAACTAACAATACATAATAATTCGAAACCAAATACAGTTTATACATTGGTGATAGAATCAGAAAAATTGAAAGATATTCATGGACAAATATTAGAACATGATCATGTTGAACGACCAGTTCAATTTCATGTACATGATTCACCACCATTAATGGGTGATATATCAGGTGCTACAGGTAAGACGAAAATAATCATCCTAGACCGCCTATGCTTCTGATATGACCAAGGAGTTATTTATTATAGGTATGATTATTATGGATCCTGCTGTATTAAATGATCCATTTTATCCATTTATGGTTTATAATTATTCGGAATTAAGATTGCGTATTCATCGTGTACAACCAGAACATTATCATCCAAATTTACCTTGTTTTCAACAATATTTTTACGCCAATGAACAGGAATCAATTATTGAATTACCTGGAGAAAAACTAGTCGATGAAGTTATAAAAACTAGCTGTGAACGTGATGAACCAAAAGAAATGAAAGTTCCTTTGAAACCATATTTAACCAACAATTCGGGAGTCGGTCAATTAATTATCTCTATTGAACCAACAGAAAAAGCATGGAAGGAATGTCAACATAACCAGTGGCAACCTAAACCAAGATTATCCGCTTGGTTACAATGTACTCGATTAGCAATTGATGTATTTATTTCATCAGGTAACTAGTCATCACCAGAAACAGTTTCATGTGGAGGATAAGGAAAATAATCTTGTCTTCATTTTTATCTTCGAAATCTCCATTGTTGAAATCTTTTATGGATTATGTATATATTATAGGTACAAATGTAAAATTAACTGCTTGGGTTACTGATTTGATGACTGGTGCACCTGTTAATCAAGCTACTGTTTCTGTATTGAACAAGAAAAACGAGACAAATCATCAAGGTTTATGCACAATTGTCAACCGTCAGTCTGAAACTGATCAAGAAGGTGAAACGTACTTCACACGAAACGAAACATTAATCATAAAAAAAGGTAATGATCAATGTATGATAACAGATATTTATTCTTATACATCAAATCCAAATATTTATGTCTGGCATGTCTTCAATGATCGAGGTTTATATAAACCAAAGGAAGATGTGCATATCAAAGGTTATATTCGTTTATTGGAAGTTAAAGGTGATGCAAAATTACCAACATATGCTCAAGGTACTGTTGATTATACCGTTTATGATCCTCGTGGTGAACAACTTCAACAATCCGAAATTCAATTGAATAATTATGGTGCATTTGATATCAAATTTACATTACCTGATAATGTGAATTTAGGTAAACTTCTATATTGTATATCTTTTACTTTTCTCATCTTTTGATCAGTACATCGAGAATTGATTGATTTTAATTTTTATATTTTCATTAGGTAATGCATCAGTAAGATTCAGTTTACCAGATTCACAAACTGAAACAACACATTATTTCAAAGTTCAAGAATTTCGTCGACCAGAATATGAAGTATCGTCAATGACTCGACCATCAACAGTACATTATTGTCATCCAACTGATGATCAATACATCATTACTAGTTGTCAAGGAAAATTATTTACTGGTGGTTATTTAAATGATGCCAATGTTCAATGGACAGTACGAGCAGAAACAACAAAATTTACACCAGCAAAAAGATCGGATTATATATTTGGCCGCGGTCGGTCGTTCTTTTGCTGGTTTGATAATAATGATAATCAAATCACATATCCAGCCAAACATTTTCAAGTAATATGATCTTTTTTTTCTTTAAAACTTCAAATAAGAATATTCAAGTCGATCGAATGTAAAAGGATTCTTGTTTCGTATTTCAATTACACATACTTTTCTGGACTTTTAATCAACTTTCATTCGTTTATTTTTAGGGTAAAACAGACAGTAAAGGTACACATGAAATAAAAATTACGTATCATGGTATTGAAAATGAGCCAAGACCAACAATGGTTCATGCATTGGCAGCTATTACTGATTTAAATAATCAAACACAAGAAACAGAAACTCAATTTCTTATTCATCCATGCACATATTATGTTGGATTTCAATTGGTCAACAATTATGGCAAGAAAGATCAACCTGTACAAACAAAAGTCATCGTTACAGATATTGATGGAAATTTAATTGATAATGTATCAATTGAATGTAAAATAGTTGGTATTGGTAAAGAAAAAAAAGAAGATGAGAATGGTTTAACAGTATTCGAAAACGTCAAAGACGAAATATTAATAACTGGTGTTAGTTCAAATAAAGATGCAATCAATATGGAATTCACTCCAATATTAGGTAAAAGATAGATTTGAAGACTAAATCATAGATGTAGAAATAGTGAGGATTTTTTTAAAATAAATGATCAATGTGCTTCGTTTTACAATACTTTCTAAATTTTATTTAATATTAGGTGGCAGATACAATATATCATATACTGTCAAAGATGAACAAGGACGATCAGCGATGAGTTTCTACGATGGTCTTTATATTGCTGGTGGTAGTGGACAAGAAATGGAGAGACAAAAGGTAGAATTTGTTCCAACAGATACATTAACTATTATACCCAATGCAACAAATTATCAACCAGATGATACATGTGAATTATTAATCTTAACACCTTTTAGTCCAGCTCATGGTCTTGTTATGTTCGATAGTGAAGGTCAAATCTCACAACCAATCCAATTTCGAGTTGAATCGGGCAAAGATTCAACAACAGTTGAATTTAAAATATCAAAAGATTGGATACCAGGTTTTACTGCTCATGTTGAATTGACCGGTTCGATTCCAAGAGAAACGGAAACAACTAATTCACCACCTCGTCCAGCCATCGCTGTTGGTTCAGTATCATTGGAAGTCTCTCGCGATATCTATAAACTAGACATTTCAGTCAATACTAAAGGAACAAATAAAACTTATATACCATCATCAACCATTGAAATTGATGTCGATGTGACACAATATACAAATAAAGCACCGGTAAATAAAGCTGAAGTATGTTTAGTGGTTGTTGATGAAGCCATTTTATCATTAACTGATCATAAATTAACGAGTCCATTAGATATATTTTATCCGAGTCGATCAGCAACTATTACACAACACCATGGTAGAAATCGTTGTTTATTATTCAATATACAAGATATAGAACAATTTAAGAAAAACATACAGGAACGACAAAATGAAAATAGGGTTTACGCAGGTTGCGGCATGCGAGGAATGATGATGAAGTGTATGGCTAGTCCAGAAGCTTGCATGTTTGGAGCTTCTCTCAGTGCTTTTGGTGGTGCTGGTGGCGAACAAACAATTGCTGTTCGATCGAATTTTAATCCATTAGCATGTTGGGTACCATCCTCTATGACTGATTCATCAGGACATGTTTCATTTAAATTCCAATTACCTGATAATCTTACACGCTATCGTGTTTGGGCTATCACTACAACTGATAAACAATATGGTTTAGGTGAAATGGCATTTACAGTACAACTACCAATTATGATTCGACCATCACCACCAAGATTTCTTAATTATGGAGATACAGCTCATTTTTCAGTAGTTTTACAAAATCAAACTGAACAATCATTATTATTACATGCTGGTTTACAAGTCAATAATGCCAAATTAATCACGTCACAAGGTGATGCGCTACGAGTGGGTTATGCAATCGAATTACAAGCAAATAAACGAATAGCAGTTCGATTTCCTGTATCCACCATTCATTCAGGTACAGCTCGATTTCAATTTATTGTCAGTACTGTCGCTAATGAAACATCCACATCATCATTTGGTGATGCTATTGAATTAAGTGTACCTGTCTTTACACCAGCAACATCTGAAGCATTTGCATCCTATGATGATATAGCTGAAGAAGGAGTCGTTTTACAACCAATCAAAACACCTGAAAATGTCATTCCACAATTTGGTGAATTATCCATCTCAACAAGTTCGACAGCATTAGCTTCATTAACGGATGCAATTCTTGCACTCTATGCTTATCCATTTGAATGTACAGAACAATTAAGTTCAAGATTATTAGGTATACAATCATTATGGGATGTTTTACAAGCTTTTCAATGCAAAGATTTACCTGATGTATCAGTCGTGCAAACGAAATTACAATCAGATCTGAATACATTAAAAGGGCGTCAATTTCCTAATGGTGGCTTTGGTTATTGGACAAATCGTAGTGATTCTTATGCTGAACCATTTATGAGTGTTCACGTAGCACATTGTTTAGTTGTTCTTAAGAAAAAACAGGTAAGAGTTAGTTTCGAAATGTTCGATTTCGATCATCACTATTCAGCATTTCATAAAGATAATTCTTGTATTATTTTGTAGGTATGGAATGTCGACATGTCTATGATGGATGGAGCACTGAAATATCTGACAAATATTGAATCTGAAATAAATCAATTACCCTATACTAAATATTGGTCTGAAACAACTCGATTTGGTTTGATCAGTTATGCATTATATGTACGAGCAAAAGATTCTCAAAATGTTGCTAATGAAGCAGTAGCATTATTTGCGCGAACTGGATTTCAAAAACTTAGTTTAGAAGCTTTAGGATGGCTATTAGTTGCATTAGTAACTGAAAAAAATAGTAAAACAGATCAATTAATTGGAATAATATATCAACATTTAAAAGGTAAAGTAAGTGAAACAAGTGAAACAGCCAATTTTATCACATCCTATGGTGATGATGGTCAATCCGTTATGTTACATTCAAATCAACGAACAGATGCGATTTTATTAGAGGCATTATTATATATTGATCCAAATTCATCTCTTTGTACGAAAATATGTAAAGGTTTACAAGCACATAAAGTGAAAGGTGCATGGAAATCGACACAAGAAAATTGTTTTGTATTAATTGCATTAGAAAAATATTTTCATACAAAAGAAAAAGATACACCTGATTTTGTTGTTAATATTTGGTTAAATAATGATTATTGCGGTCAACATCAATATAAAGGTAAGAGGCTATAATCAGACGTCTATTATTAACATTATTTATAAAATTCTTCTTTTTTTTCTTAATCTCAAGGTCGAACAACGGATACACGTATGGTCAATATTCCAATGAAAGCAATTTTAACACCATCATCTAACACAAATACCAATGAGAAGAATAAGAATTTAATCATGCAAAAAGATGGCCATGGTCGATTATATTATCGTATTGCATTAAATTATGCTCCATCTAGTCTACAAATAAATGCCGTAAACTATGGTTTTAAAATTGAACGAACCTACATGGCTGTGGATGATCAATCCCATGTTGAAAAACAAGCCGATGGAACATGGAAATTTAAATTAAATGAAAAAATCAAAGTCGTATTAACCATGACAACAGCACAAATGCGCTATCTTGAGGGTGATGGTGATCATAATTCTTCCTACCCTCACCACCCTTCCCCTTTACCTGGCCTCATCACAGAATAGGATGACTGCTCTAAACCACTGTATTATTAGTGGCGATGAGGGTGATCATAACTCTCTCTCTACTCTCACTCTCATCCACCCACATCAAGCCAATTATCAACTGTTCTTCTTTTTATTGTTATTTAAAATAAAGATATCAAGAAATGAAGGTGACGCAGTAATTTTCTTAGTGAATTAATTAGAATAAAAAAGCTACTGTGTTCAGATAAGTGAATGAATAAAAAGATCAATAATGAAGAGAGTAGAAATATAAATCATAGATGATAGAAAACTAACTACGAATTGTTCAATCAAATATGAATATATCCTAGTTAATAATAGCCTTTTCTGTCGCAGATCGACCAAAATTTTCTGGAGAATACATTTCTTCTGCTTTTGCTGGTGGTATTATAAATGTTCCAGCACATGTAGCACGCATGACATAACTCCATTCATAAACACCAGGCCATAATAATGATCGAAATGCTTCAGCACGTTCATCTCGTAAATTTTCATGTTCCGTCCAACCTAGGATTGAATGTGGTCGACATCCACAATGAAAATAACGACTTCGATCTGATCTTGTTACGGATGATTCTGTATCACCTGTTATTGTACATTTTAATTTTGTATTTAGT